GTTTCAAAAGTACCGATTTGGCACCGGTATCGGATAAAACCTAAACGATACCCATCCCTAGTCCCGAGTATCTGTGCCGCCCCTGCAGTCCTGACCCAGATAAATAGACAGATGAACCAAAGTCTATTCAAAAAACATAGCAGTGTAGCACTGAGAGCCTCAGCCAACGCAGAAACAGCATTATCAGATTATCAGATTATCATCACCATTTAACAGCTAAGGGACTTAAAACTGTTGAAAACAGCAATATAATGAAATCAAACAGGTCAAAATAGAGCGACAATCCAGACAGAACAACATCAAGTAGACTGACAGAGAAATGGAAGGGAGGTATGAATGCTTTAATCCGGTTTAAAGACTTGTTTGGAGCAAAGTCAAGCTCACATGCAGAGCAGTTAGTCATGATGGAGTCATGAATGGAGACCGATCCAGAAACACACCCTGAAAGGACGAAGGAGGGGAGGAAAAGAGAGATGCAGAATAGTGACGGAGGATTGAGGGACGTTAAAAGGTTATAAAACGTGGGGAGGAGGGGAGGAAACAGCAGGGTGAGTCCAACCCTTAATGCCAGAGGGGATTTCTGCTGAACAGAACCAGAGTCGGCTCTGATGCTGGTCCGTCACCGACCTCCAACTTCAATCTGCTGTGTGGAGTTGCCCTGTGAACAAACAAAGCTTCTGTTTACTTCTAGAGTTGCACAGCAAAGCCGTCCGTGTGGACCCTCCAACAAACACCGATTTCTCTCTTTGATGTAGTTTAAACCCTCTCGTCTTCCTTTCACTCATTCGGTGTCAGGCGTTCTGTCTCACTAGTACAAAAAACTTCAAGTGTTGATTAATTGATTAATGGCTTCTGTTTGACATTAGCAAGTGACAGCTTTTTGACTTTTTTGACCCTAACAGGGGCCATAGTTGATCAAATGAATCTCACATGTGATTCAGTAACACTGAAAATAGTGACGGAGCCCATAAAGTCATCAGGGACATGTTTACTGAGACCACAGAGCAAAGGGACTCAACAACTCTTTCCCATTCAAGCTTATTGGCAACCAAAGGTGTCGCCCCCTGCTGGCCATCAGAAATAAGACAGGTTGAAGGGACACTGCTTCCTTGATCTATGGCCACAGTGAAAACTTGTTTTAGGGCAGTGGTGTCCAAACCCAGGCCTCGAGGGCCGGTGTCCTGCAGGTTTTAGATGTGTCCTTGATCCTTCACAGCTGATTTAAATGGCTAAATGACCTCCTCAACATGTCCTGAAGTTCTCCAGAGGCCTGATAATGAACTAATCATGTGATTCAGGTGTGTTGACCCGGGGTGAGATCTAAAACCTGCAGGACACCGGCCCTTTAGTTTTCAGATGGAGGATGAGGCAGAGCTGACCTTACCAGGTGAACTTTCACCAATAATAAAAGTTTAGACACGTGAATGAAAGAAATTCTGATTTTGGGAGGGTGTCCTCAGCGGGGGGCAACCTGGCTTTTTTTAATTGAGTGGAGCTAAACGCACAAACATGGGTTAAACTCCACGTGGTAGGGCTCTGGGTGGGTTTGAATCTTCTTGCTTTGTGGTAACAGTGCTAACCACTCAGCCACCACGGTGCCGTCAAATTACAGCTTGTGAAGCCAGATAATCAGATAATCCAACAAACTCTTGAACTCTTGTGGAAAGATGATCAATTACTTTGGTAAGACGGAGGATGGAGGCTCTATAAGTCTTCTGAATCAGAACGACTTCAGCTGAAAGCAGCCATCAGCCCTGCCCTGACTGAACTCCTGACTCGTTTGCCTCCATGAAAACTGTTTGCTGGTAAATGAGTCTGTAATTTAGATCAGTGAGGAAACTGAAGAGCTGGAAAACTGGATACACACCAGGAAAAGTTGATGTTTAATTACATGAAATCCAGAAACAATCACTCTGTTAAAACTGCCTTTCACCATTTTAACTGCTGCAAATCTCAGAGGATATGAAGTTTTTAATCATGATTAGGTTTGTTCGTGTCTCCCTCACACAGGTCTCCTCCTGAGCATCAAACAGACAGATGACAGGACAAAATCCAACTTTCTGCTTCCTGAAGATGACCTCTTCACTTTTCACGTAGAACATTTGTTACTCCAGTGCTCAGCCCGTTTGTCAACTGTTGCAAGTCCTTCGTGTCACCGCACATACGCACAAAATGTTCCTCCCTATGCAGCGTTACAGTATTTCATTTAGTCCACATAGTTTGGACTGCTCATGATCCAGCAGGTTCCTGGTTAGGTTTTAAACCAATACTTGCTGATTTTTACCTGTGAGTCTTTGAATTAACTAGAAAACATTACTGCTCCTTTTTAAAAGCCTCCCTTGGTTTGGTTCCTGGCAAACTCTTTGTGAGCCCAGCCGGGGTTTGAGATCTACAGCACACATCCAGTTAGTATAAATGAGGCCTGGCAGTCACTGATCAGCTACCCGTCTGTGTCAGTCCAAAATAAAAACAACAAAAAATATTAACCAAGGGGGAAACTGTCAGAATTGATCGTTTAAGATGGTCATTTATGCTTAGAAATGTATAATCATTTGTATGCTGATAAAAATCATATCCTTATTAGGTCTGATAAGACTCTGTGTGCACTTGTGTACCATGAGATGAGAAGAAGCAACCTTGATGTTATAATTTCCATTATAGCTGCAGGAACTAGACTGTGCTGTTCTTAAAAGTGCTTTAAATGTGTGTTTGAGACACGACCTGTTGCAACTTCCTGTTTTTATAGTTTAGCAAGACGCTTACTTCTGCTTGTCTGCATACAGTGTAAGTTCATTGAAAGGTTGTGTGTCTATGTATAGTATGGCTGGAAACACACACACACAGAATCCAGACACTGATGTTGTTCAGAGATGCCTGCTTATGGATGTCACGTGTATTTGTAATTGCATATTCATGAACGATTGCTTGCTGACAATAAAAAGAACTGTAGCGAAGGACTCAGTCGAAGTTGGTTGAGTTCAGGTGAAGGAATCTTTTCCTCAACTTTGACTGACTTGCGGGCCACAAACACAAAGAGCTCTGTCTTGTTCTGTTTTGTCGTGCAGTTTGTTGGTCTTGTGTTCCAGCGGGCTTTGAGCCTAGATAAACCCAACAGAAACGATCCACTTCAAAGTCTGACACTTTAACCTGGGAGTCTGTGGGCGCTGATTTGCAGTCAGCCTGTTAGCAGCGCTGCGGTTTGGGCACTTGAGCCGCGTGCTCGTCATTAATGATGAGCGGGGATTTGCTGCCCGGCTCCCTCAGATTTTGAATCGTCGGGACGTGCCCTCTTTTAAATGTAAAAAAGTATCATGTGACTTGGATCTCACTGCTTTTCATTCAGTCGTGTTCCTGTAAAGACCTGCAGTCTGCTGTCACGAGGCTCTGCACTGCTTCTCATCACACAGAACTTAATTTATGATTATACAGAGTTTCAACAGACCTTTGTTTGTACGTCGGGAAAAGTTTATGCTGGGACTCATGAGTAATAAAATCTATATGGATCACAAACAAACCAACGTGTAATCAATAATTGATATTCAGTCACTTGCAGCTGTGCTTCTCGGAGCAAATATTACATAAAAAG